TAAATAGAATTGTATTCTTGACCAATGTCACATATAGGCATAACTAGGAAATAGAGCGGGTTCGGTTCCAGTCCACCACAATAAAGCAAATATTACAATAAAGCAGTTCACACAAATGTTTTGGTTTTCTAGTGCATATAAAATTTATGTTTATACTGTGTAGTCTTAAGTGTGCCTTATGTCTAAAAAGACAATGTATATACCTTAATTGAAAAATACTGCTAAAAAATGCTAGTGATTATCTGAGCCTTCAGTGAGTCATAACCTTCTTGCTGGTAGAAGGTCTTGCCTCAGTGTTGATAGCTGTTGACTGATCAGCATGGCAGTTGCTAAAAGTTGGGATGGCTGTAGTAATTTCTTGAACTTCAGCAATGAAGTTTGCCCCACCGATTGACACTTCCTTTCACAAAAGATTTCTCTGTGGCGTGAGATAGTGTTTGATAGCATTTTACCCGTAGTAGAATTTCTTTCAAACTTGGAGTCAGTCCTCTCAAACACTGCTGCTTTCTCAACTAAGTTTATGTAATATTGTAAAACAAATACTCTTTTGTTGTCATATCAGCAGTGTTCACAGCATCTTCACCAGGAGCAGATTCCATCTCAAGAAACCACTTTCTTTGCTCATCCATAAGAAGCATTTATTAAAGTCATATCATGAGAGTACAGTGGTTTGGTCACATCTTCATGTTCCACTCTAATTCTAGTTCTTTAATCTTTTCTATCACATCTGCAGTTTCTTCCTCCACTGAAGTCTCGAATCCCTCAAAGTAATCAGTGAGGACTGGAATCAGCATCTTCCAAACTTCTATGAATGTTGATATTTTGCCCTCCTCCCACGAATCATTAATGTTCTTATGGCATCTAGAATTCTGAATCCTTTCTAGAAGGTTTTCAATTTACTTTGCCCAGATTCACTAGAGGAATCACCATCTATGGCAACTATAGCCTTTCAAAATGTATTTCTAAAATAATAAGACTTGAAAGTTGAAATTACTCCTTGATCTGTGGGTTGCAGGATGGATGCTGTGTTAGCAGGTCTGAAGACAACATTAATCTCCTTGTACGTGTCCATCACAGCTCTTGGGTGACTAGGTACATTGCCAGTGAGCAGTATTATTTTGAAAGGAATCTGTTTTTCTGAGCAATAGGTCTCAACAACAGACTTAAAATATTCAGTAAACCATGCTGTAAACAGCTGTGCTGGCATCCAGGTTTTATGGTTCCGTTCATAGAGCACAGGCAGAGTAGATTTAGCATAATTCTTAAGGGCCCTAGGGTTTTCAGAATGGTAAATGAGCATTGGCTTCAACTTAAAGTCACAAGCTGTGTTAGCCCCTAACAAAGAGAGTTGGTCTGTCCTTTGAAGCTTTGAAGCCCAGTATTGATTTCTCTCTAGCTATGAAAATCCTAGATAGCATCTTCTTCCAATATGAGGCTGTTACGTGTACATTTCAAATCTGTTGTTTGGTGGAGCCACCTTCATCAGTTATCTTAGCTAGATTTTTGGATAACTTGCTATAGCTTCTACATTAGCACTTGCTGCTTCACCTGGCACTTTTATGTTATGGAGACGGCTTCTTTCCTTAAACCTTATAAACCTACCTCTGCTAGCTTCACATGTTTTTTCTGCAGCTTCCTCACCTCTCATAGCCTTCATAGAATTGAAGAGAGTTAGGGCCTTGCTCTGGATTAGACTTTGGCTTAAGGGAATCTTGTGGCTGGTTTGATTTTCTGTCCAGACTACTCAAACTTTCCCTATAGCAGCAATAAGGCTATTTTGCTTCCTTACCATTCATGTATCCCCTGTAGTAGCTTAACACTTTTAATTTTCTTTAAGAACTTTCCCTTAGCCTTCACAACTCGACTAACTGGTGCAAGAGACCTACCCTTTCAGCCTATCTTGGCTTTCAACATGCCTTCCTCACTAAGCTTAATTATTTCTGGCTTTTGATTTAACGTAAGTCATGTGTGACTGTTCCTTTCACTGAATGCTTAGCGGCCATTGTAGGGTTCTTACCTGGCCTAATTTCAGTATTGTGTCTCAAGGAATAGGGAGGCTCAAGAAGAGAGAGAGAGAGAGAGATGGGGGAATGGCCAGTCAGTGGAGCAGTTAGAACACTCACAAAGTTTATCGATTAAGTTCGCTGTCTTATATGGGCATGGTTTGTGGTACCCCCAAACAATAAATAGTAACATCAAAGATAACTAATCAGAGATCACCATAAGAGATATAACAATAATGAAAAAATCTGAAATATTATGAGAATTACCAGAATGTGACACAGAGACACAAAGTGTGCGCATGCTGTTGGAAAAATGGCACCAGTAGACCTGTTTGACACAGGGTTGCCATAGCCCTTCAATTTGTGAAAAAATGCACTATCTGCAATATATGATAAAATTAGGTGTGCCTGTATCTATAAAAAGTTCAGGAAAAACAGAAATGGACTAACCAATCTGGTTTGTAACTATTATATACAAAGGCTGAATTTATAGAAAAACATTGGCCAAAAATCCTAAATAGGCCTTCAGATTTTCTCTTGCTATTCTTAAGAAACGTTTTGGAGAGTATTTTTCCAGTACTGGTCTCTCAGTATCATCTTATGTATACAGATAATCCTGGACTTAAAGTGGTTCGCCTTAGGATTTTTTGACTTTATGATGGTGCAAAAGCAATACATATCCAGTAGAAACTGTACTTCAGGTTTTGAACTTTGCTCTTTTCCTGATACTCTCATGATGATGGGCAGTGGCGGCGAACCTCAGCTCCCACCCAGCCACAGGATCACTAGGGTGAACAGCTGATACTCTGTAGTGCGCTGTGTTGCCAGATGATTTTTGTCCAACTGTAGGCTAATCTAAGTGTTCTGAGCACATTTAAGGTAGGCGAGGCTAAGCTATGATGTTTGGTAGGTTAGGTGTATTAAATGCATTTTTGACTTAAGATACTTTCAAGTTATAATGCATTCATCAGGATGTAACTCCATCATAAGTTGAGGAACATCTGTATTTAAAACTACTTGTAAAACTACTGTAGGACTGCTTGAGGTTGGAGACATTCTTTTCTTTTGTAAACCCGGCTGCTCTTCATGTGGAACTTTGATTGACTAACAAACGAAAAATGCTGCCAGTCTCATCTTTATACATGTTGAGTGTCACATTCATAATAGAATAAGAATACAAAATTGGGGTGACTGATTAAAATATCACTTTGTATTTGAAGAAAAAATACTCTGAATTTATCTACAAGTGCACTACAAAAGGGCTTTTTACAATATGCCTTTATGTACAAACTTTTGGGAATATGACTTTAAGTGGAAGATTATACAGAAAACCTCTGTGTAAACCACAAAGCAATTATTACAAATATAGAGGTGGTATTAAAAACAATTTATTTGACTTATAAGAGCACCTATTTATGAGTTAAGTGCTCATTAGGTGTTTTGTGAGAAACTTTAAAATCATTGTATATGCAAACTTAAATTTACAAATTAAAGAATATTCATAAAAAGCATAATTTGTAGCAAAAGAATTCATAAGCTCATGGATCTCCCCCATGCCAGCTCCAGCCTCTGCACAGGTGAAGCAGCAGTGATTTAATTTTATTTCAACCTAGAAAAGTTATGACCTGAGTATAGTCATAATGGGTTTTATAGTGAGTTAGAAAGAAAGGTAGTATCCCAAGGATTTGCTTTCCAAAGCAGTAAGAGAGTAATTTTTGTAAAGGTGTCAGGAGTTAAGAAAATGAAATTTTAATCTCAGTCTCCAGGCATTCCGTGTCTCATATTCTCCGAATGTCAACATTTTTATGTAATTTAGAAGTGGTATAGACTGAAAGGTAATAGGTTGTTGTAGGATACGAGCAAGAAAACATTGAATATGATCAAAAAAGATCGACGTGTCAGGGTCAGACCTTTTTAATGGAGAACCGTTGATATTCCACATAGATATGCAGTTCTGTGTTTTTGGTCACTTAAGAATACTTATTAAAATGTTGAAAGGATTTTGGTTGTCTCTCATTTTGCCTTGCTTTATATAAGCTCAGTATCCCATTCTCTATTGTTTTCTTTGCATTCTTGGCACAGTTCAGTGGACCAGGAGAGGAGAAGTTGAAACATGCTGCTGCTACCTTTTGCAGTAACCAACCTTTTGCCCTGGAAATGATCAAGTCTCGTCAGAAAAAGGATTCTCGATTTCAGACTTTTGTGCAAGTGAGTTGAGTGAGTCATGTAAGAAAAAAAAATAAGGCAAGTCTTTATCAATTATAGGATAAACTAGGGGAATGCTGACTAAGACTTTTATAAGGATTACATCTATGTTAACATTTTTTAAAGCCATACATTCTCTCTTAAGTTACTGGAAAGTATAAAGGTGATTTTGGAATGGTAAATAATAAAAAATATATGTCAAGATTAGCATACTTGATATAGAAATCCACACATTGCCATGGGGGTTTTATCAGGAAATGACCCATACACACTATGAAAAGAATATTGTCAAAGCATGAGAATGGGCTTATATCTAGTCCAGGGAAGAATTTAATAGCAATTATACTCATTGGGGTATTCATTGGTATATAGGTCAAGGGTCAGTAAACGACAACCCACAGACCATATCCAAACTGTTTCCTGTTTTATAAATAAAGTTTTATTGGAATACAGTATATCGTTTCCTATTGCTGTATAACAAGATTACCACAAGTGTGGCCACTTAATGCAAATTTATTATCTCACAGTTTTTGTTGTTTAGGAGTATGGCTATGGTTTAGCTAGATCCTCTCTTCAGATTTTGACCAGGTTGAAATCAAAGTATCAGCTGGAGCTACAATTCTCGTCTGATGCTCAGGGTTCTCTTCAAAGCTCACTGGTTGTTAGCAGAGTTCATTTTCTCATAAATGTATAACTGAGGTCCCTGCCTTCTTGCTAGTCATTGGGTAGGAACCAGTGTCAACTCCTAGAGAAAGCCCATATCTCTCTGCCATATGACCCCCTTAGGCAGTTTAAAGGTGAATGTTTGCTTTCTTCCAGGCCAGTAGGAATGCCACTCTCTGTCACAGATTTCTTTTAAAGGCTCCTCTGATGAAGTCAGGCCCACCCACGACAATTTTCTTTTTTATTAACTTGAAGTCAACTGATAGAAACTTAATCATATGAGTGATATCCCATCAGATTCACAGATTGCATCCACACTCACGGGCATGGGATTATACAGGGTGTGTATATCAGAGGACGGGAATCTTGGACGCCATCTTGAGTTATTTACTGCACAGAGCCATCATGTTCATTCGTTTATACATTATCTATGGCTGCTTTTGTGCTCAATCAGTAGAGTTGAGTAGTTGTGAGAGAGACTGTATGGCCTGCAAATCCTAAAATATTTACTAATTAGCACTTTACTAAAAAGTTTGCAAATGCCTTATATAGATGAGGTAGCATACCCAGACTGGTGATCCATTGTGCCTACTTGGAATGGCAGATAACAAATTAGCTAACTAACTCTGGTAGGAATACCAATCATAGGAAAATGTACCTAGGTTTTCTGAATAGGTGAAAATAAAACTGTTTTAATACAAGTAAGCAGTAGTTAAGAGTTGATTATGGATACTCTTAGTCATTGCTTAAACAGATAACGAAGAAGCCATTGGTTTAGTAATAGAGGCTTCCTTCCCCTATTATGTGATTAAAGGGGAAAGCAGACATACAGTATGGCATCTTGGTATTTTTTAAAGAGCTTGATTTAATAATCAGAACTGTGACGCAGTAGACACTCATATGGTGAATACATGATAGATGTAAGGTAATTATAGTTCTGATGAGAATTACAGACTCACTTATTTCACTTTAACTTTAGGATGCTGAGAGTAATCCACTGTGTCGTCGTCTTCAGCTGAAAGATATCATTCCCACCCAAATGCAAAGACTTACTAAGTACCCACTTCTACTGGATAATATTGCCAAATACACAGGTACAGCATTTTCTCGTTGAAATTAAGAAGATTAGGAACAACAACCAAAAACTTATCCTGCTAAATAATATCTCACAGGATTCTGGTGTCTGGAGTTGGATTTCCAAATAGTATGAAAAGATTTTCTGACAAGCTCTGATCTAGTCTTCTTCAGGCTATCTGATTTAATGTGCTCCATTAGTAGTTCCATAAGGGGCTTTGGCAAACTATGTGGGTCAAATCAGGCTCACTGCCTATTTTTGTAAATAAAGTTTGATTTTGGAACACAACCGTGCTTATCTGTTTGCATACTATCTCTGACCACTTTTGTACTATAACAGCAGAGCTGAGTAGTTGTGACAGAATCCATTTGACCTGGAAAATGTAAAATATTTATTATTTGATCCTTTGCAAAAAGTCTGCCTATCGTTGCTCTAGCATACATCATACTTGCTTTGAAGATTTATACTGGGTTGAAGAGCTATATATATGTACTTTTATTAAACCAAATTAATGCATTATAATTCCGAATCTCCTGTTTTGAAACATGAAGTGAATCTGAGTTTCTCAATTGAGCTTTTAGGCTCTTATACTTAGTTCTCAATACTTTTATGCAGTCAAACTCCTGATTCTTGTGTCTGAGAATTTGAATGCATAATTGGGAAATTTAAAATTATGGTACCTGGTAACAAAAGTGGTTTACACTCATATACATTAATTTTTATACTGTAATATATCTGTTCAGTATAGTTGTACTGTTCAGAGGATTATAATTTTGAATATTCTGATTTTGGTATTTTTTATATTATAGATACGATATAACCTCAACACATTTTGACAAATTTTATCTTTTAATGATACAAATGTTATAATCTGTTTTCTTTTTAAAAATATAATCTCAACTCTCTGGGAGGCCGAGGCGGGCAGATTGTTTGAGCTCAGGAGTTTGAAACTAGCCTGAGCAAGAGCGAGACGCCGTCTCTACTAAAAATAGAAAGAAATTAATTGGACAACTAAAAATATATAGAAAAAACTAGCCGGGCATGGTGGCGCATGCGTGTAGTCCCAGCTACTCGGGAGGCTGAGGCAGGAGGATAGCTTGAGCCCAGGAGTTTGAGGTTGCTGTGAGCTAGGATGATGCCACGGCACTCTAGCCCGGGCAACACAGTGAGACTCTGTCTCAAAAAAAAAAAAAAATATATATATATATATATAATCTCAAATTCAAAGACATTTGTTTTAGAATTAATTCAAGTTTTGTTATTCAAAAAAATGTTGCTTAATAGGTTCATGGGACATATTTATGTAGGCTATGCACTATGAAATTACAGGGGGAGAAGGGGTTCCCAATTTATATAGCTTACAAAGTGAATTAGACTAGTTCTCTGGAGTGTGTAACATAGTAGCCTTAATACTTTATGTAAAGCAAAATGTTTTCAATTTCGGGTTCTATACTGTGGTTTCTTTTTAAACATTAGATTTATGTTTTAAGTACTGCCATAAGAAGTTTCACCTCTGCAAACACTACCTAAATTGACACTCTGCTATAGGTTTTAGCCTGGTATAAAAGGTCTTAGTATGTTCTCATAACTAGTGAAATAAAGTGAAATCTCATGATATATATATATATATATATATATGTATATATATTTTCTTTTTTTCTGATTTTTCTCCATTTTTCCCATGTTTAGAATGGCCAATGGAAAGGGAGAAAGTGAAGAAAGCTGCAGATCACTGTCGTCAGATCTTAAATTATGTAAATCAGGCTGTCAAGGAGGCAGAAAACAAACAGGTAAAACGGGAAAACAAGATACAGGATGACGTAGGGAGAATATTAAATTAATATTACCTGGAACTTGTGAAATAGTAATTCAAACTATCATTACATAATTGATAGGTTGGACATTTGTTAACTATTCGTACGTAGTAGGTGGGTCCAGATCAATTTATGATAGAATATCAGATTTGTAATTGACTTTTTTGAAGTTTGAACATCTCAGGCTGCTCGTTTGCTCATTCATTCATCTGTTCATACAACAAATATTTGTAGAGCACCTGCCGTATGCTGGGCATAGAGTACAGAGTAGTTGAGAAATAAGCACAATATCTGCTCATATTGAGCTTGTTTCCTAGCAGGACAGGAAGGCATTTAACAGGATTATAATGCAAGTGTTTTCTATCAGTTGTGACAGCTGCTATGAAGGAGACTTTCAAGATACTGAGAGTGTATAACTATGGAGCCTATCCTAGTTTAGGATGTTAGGTGGTGGCTATCAGAGAAAGCTTCCTTGAGGAATTGATATTTGGGCCAAGCTCTGAAGGATGAGTGGAAATGAACCAAAGCAATGTGGAAGGGTGCAGCCCTAGAAGTAGAGGCAGTATTTATAAAAGTCTCAACATAAAAAGGAAGCATAGTCTGTTTGAGGAACTGAAAGATTAGATTAATGTGGATCGTGCCTAAAAAACAAAGTCAGAGTGGTATAAAGTGAGATAAAGGAGGCCAGGACCAACTTATACAGGGCCCTTTAGATCATGTTAAAGATTTTGATTTTTATTCTAAAAGCAGTAGGAATTCATAGGAGATGTGTAAGAATATAATTTTCAGATTTTCTTATTTAAGAATCACTCACAGTACTCTATGGAGAGTGAGCTCAAGGAGGAAGATAGTGGGTGAAAGCGCCCTGGATTGTGGTACCAACCCAAGATTGATGATGGTAGCTTAGAGAAATTAGAGAAGTATTTAGAAGGTAAAAGTGACAGGACTTAGTGACTGATTTAGAGAAGGATTTGAAGGAGAGGTCATATCAGGAATAAATCCCCAGGTTTCTGGCTTGCATATTTGGATGGATAGGATGAGTAGAGAAGTCCCAGATTTGTGGGGAAGATGATGAGTTCAGTTCGGGATATCAGGTAGAGATGTGCAGTATACAGTTGGCTATATGGGTTCACCTCTAAGAGGAATTTTCTGAAGATAAAAATTTAAGATTGTGAGCATATGGAGGCTCATTGAATCCATGGGCATGGATGTAATTTCTTAGGAGCTGAGTGTGATGACAACTCTGTTGGTAAAACTGAAGGAAAACAGGTACTTTCTAATGTATTGTTTGGAGTGTAAAATGATAAAACCCCAGAGAGAAATTTGGCAATATTTATCTAAATTAAAAGTGTACATACCCGTACTTCTACTCTTTGACTCAACTATTCTGTTCCAAGTGATTTACCAAAGAAAAATGAAGATATATGCCCAGAAATAGACTTATAAAAGAATGTTTCTAGCAACTTTATTCATAATAGCCAAAAACAAGAAATAGCTGAAGAATTCATTAACAGGAGAATGGATAAACTAATTGTGGTATAGTCATGAAATAATTTACAATCAGTGATAAAAAAGAATGAACTACTGATGTGAACAACATAGACAAACCTCATAAACATGCTTAGTGAAAGAAACCAGACGCAAAAGATCATATACATATAATTGTATTTATATGGACTTCTAAGACAGGTTAAACTACTCTATGGTAGGAAGAAACCCAGAAAAGTGGTTGCTACTGAGTATGTGCTGGTGGAGATTAACTGGGAAGAAGTATGGGGAAACTGTCTGGGGTGATGGTAACATTACGTATCTTGGTAGGAGTTTGGGTTGCATAGGTGTGTATGCATTTGTCAAAATTCATGGAAAGGTACACCTAAAATGTGTGCATTCTACTGTATGTAAATTTTACTTTTTAAGAAAAACTGTATGCTCTTGTTATCCATGCTAAAATGTTTAGGGATAATGTATACTTACATATGTAATTTATTTTGAAACGCATTCAGATATACTTATATCTGTAATTTATTTTGAAATGCATCCAGAAAATAAGATGGACTTGTGGATAGATAGAGGAATGAATAGATGGATAGATATATAATAAAACAAATATAGCAAATGTTGATTGTAGAATGTAAGTGGTGGATATATAGGTGTTCAGTATACACATTCAGACTCTTCTGTGTATTTGGAAGTGTTTCTATGATGTTGGGGGAAAATGCACATAGCCCATATCCTTTGATCCAGTAGTTCTAGAAACAGATATATTTACACCGGTGTATAAAGATATATATTTAAGGCCATTTTGTTACAGTATTATCCATTATAGGAGAAGATTGGAAGTAGCCTAAATGTCTATCAGTAGGATATAGTTAAATAAATTATAGCTCATTTACGGAGCTGAATACCATGCAGCCATTAAAAAAAATGAGACAGCTCTCTCTGTGCTAATGTGGAACAATCTTCAAGATATATACATACCACATATACACACAGAGAAAGACATACATTAGTATATCATACTACTGTATCTTGTTTTAAAATAGGATATATTATACACACAACGTACACAGAGATGAGCATACTTATATACACATATATTCTATTCTACTTATGTATACTTCTGTTTACGTAGAATTTTTCTCAAAGGCTACTCAAGAAATGAGTATTAGTGATTGCTTCTTTAGAGAAAATTGGTGGGGGGTAGGCAAGTGGGCAGGGTTAGAGATAGACTATATTGTTTGCCTTATATCAGTTTCTGAATTTTGTATTGTGTGCATGATTTACATATTCAGAAAATAAATATAAGCTACTTAGAGGCCAATGAGTTTGAAAAGAAGATTGAGAAAGAAAGGCCAATGAAGTAGAAAGAAAATTAGGAGAGTATAATATCGCCAAAGCCAAGGGAAGAGGTATTTTAAGAAAGAGTAAGTGCTCAGTCATGTCTAGTGTTGCAGATAGCTTAGTAGAATGCAGATTAGAAATGTCCATTTGATTCAGAAATGGAAAGGTCATTGATGACCAAAACAATAACCTTGGCTCCATCCTATCTAATTTTCAGCGCTTAGAAGATTATCAGCGTCGTCTTGATACCTCCAGTCTAAAGTTGTCAGAGTACCCAAATGTTGAAGAGCTCAGGGTGAGAGATGGTCTAATCATAATTTTTAAAATAAAGTTTACTAAATAAAGACTGGGCAGGTAATTAACATCTCAATGGGAATATATGTCACCTGAAGGAGTTCTTGTATCAGAAATGATCTATATTTATTATTTTATTTTGCCTTTTAAATGATTCATTTGAAGATTACTTTAGTCTTTCATATTTTGTGTGAAACTATAACTTCACATGACAGGAACTGACAGGAGACTAAGAAACACTAGTTATTATTAAATTATTAAATTTAATTTTATTGTGTTCTATAGTTTGAATAAGAGTAGGACTGTTTATTATGGGAACTTTCCAGATCATTGAGTAAAGCAAGATAACTTTATTATCTTTTCATGAAGCTCAAAAGCATAAAAATTGAAACTATCACAGAAATGGTAGTAAAATATTTACTAATTTCCAATTATAGTATCTGGGCTTTCATATTAATTAACTTTTTAGGATTTTAAGTCTTTTTTGTACTATTTCACTGGATGGTTGTTTTGGCAGATTTATTTGGTAGCTGTTTCAAATAGAGTTTTGTGTCACATGAAACACTTTATCAGAAAGCACACTAATGTGCGTATTCCCTTTAACTTCCAAATCATGAGATTTTTCTAGAGCTACTAACACTAAGAGATGATTCTCTTTCTAATATTTATTAATAT